TCTAATTGTGTCTCTATATCTGTTGTTTTATCATTTAAAGTGTCAATATCCATTCTAATGACATCTTGTTCTTGTTTATTGGTGTAGATTTCTTCTCTTAGTTCATTGATGTCTAATTTTATAGATTTTATGTCCTCTTTAACCGAACAAATATCTTTAGAAAGTCTATTTTCCGAGTCCTTTATCTGCCGGAGAATTACCCTCTGTACCTCGTCTAAATCGGTGGTAGGTCCCGGGTTTGTCTCGACATCTCCAGAGAGAAGAATAATGGGTGATCTGACATTATTCGCAGGGAGGGGTGGGGGTAGGAACGGACGAGTACGATCGATACTGAGCAGGGGTGTGCTATCCGTGACGTCACTGCTTGGACACAAATGTAAACAAACAGTTTCTGGGTGGCAAGACTCACTCGGGTAGTCTATGTAGCTCGCACTCTGTTCAATATATCGAATCAGGGAGAATGATAAGATGAGATGCACAGACAAAAACACAAAACATGCGTTGAGTCGGAGCGGCATGTCAGAGCCAGCCGTGAACGGTGTATACCTGTCAACATGGCTGATGTGTCGGGTACCACTAGGGTGTGAAAAAGTCCCAATCCTTGCTCTGTAGAGCACTATATCTATCATTTTTCACATGAAACTCTTCACTGGTCCCTTATGGATGTATACGATATAGTTTTAGATTCTGGTGATGTGTGGATTATTATTTACCCGATGTTTTCCCTGACTGCTCTTTTTCCGTGACTCGTCTCTAGGGGCGCATAACTCCATGTCATCACAGTCATCACAGGGTCCACCTATGTCCACTGTAGTCCAGGTCCAAAATGAGTGAGTGAGTTGCGTTTTACGCCGCTTTTAGCAATATTCCAGCAATATCACGGCGGGGGACACCAGAAAATGGGCTTCACACATTGTACCCATGTGGGGAATCGAACCCAGGTCTTCGGCGCGACGCGCGAACGCTTTAACCACTGAGCTACCCACCGCCCCGATACATCAATGAATTCCTGTGGTACAAACTAAGAAGCGCGACCAGTCGGAAGCTACTTTACAGGAACCGAATGTATGAAGCCCATAGTGATATCAGACTGGTGTCCCCCACAATGAAATTGCATGAATATTGATAAAAGTGGCGTAAACTATACTTGCCATTTAGAAAGTGGTCAAATGTAACATATGTTACTCTTTCTCAGTAAAGTACAGATTCTAGTACTTTTCTGTAAATGTCACTGTGTATGCATAACTTTCGGCCGTGGGAGCCGTGCCAATTTACATATATCAGAAGTGTACACAAAGTCCGCAGTGGAGACTACCAGTTGTCCGACTTCCATTTGTGTGGAAGCCGCGGTGGCTGAATACGTTAGACGGTTGACTTTGTGTGCTGGCGATTAGGTGCCTGACTCTGAGGGTGCGAGTTCGAATCCCGGATGAGTGAATGAGTTTAGTTTTACCCCGCGTTCAGCAATATTCCAGCCATATGGCGGTGGTCGGTAAATAATCGAGTCCGGACCAAACAATCCAGTGTTCAGCAGCATCGATCTACGCAATTGGGGATACGATGACATGTGTCAACCACGTCAGCGAGCCTGACCACCCGATCCCGTTTGTCGCCTCTTACGACAAGAATGGGTTCCTGAATATCAATTCTAATCCGGATCTTCACGGGTACCTGTATCTGAGGAAAATACCCAAATATGACGCTGACCTCAGTGTGATGTAAAGGATAAAACGACTCCGATAAAACACGACCTCGGTTTTACAATCTCGACCAAGACCGAGGAGGAGTGTTTTATCCGACTTATGAACCGTCATGAATGCAAAACACAAATATATGTATTATTTTCAATTTGTGCATGTACTGAGCAGAACATCATTGATGGAACAGCCCGCAAATGATGGAACAGCCTGTGTCAACTGGGATGCGACTGGCAGCCAACACTTTGCCTCGCACGTACTCTGCATCGCGCTACCCGTGTCCTGCACTTGCGCTGCCCGCAGTACCCGTCTTGTGAGGAACGCATGGTTCATACTGACAAACAATCTCATTCGTTCACAGCGATCCTTCGTAGCCTACCAAACTAGAGAGCGAAGGGTTACGGGTTCGAAACCAGTTATTGCCACTTATTGAAGTTTTCAATAATGAGATATTTTACGATCAGTCATAGCATAAATAATCATCATATAATGAAATATTTCAAAACCTCATATTAGGTTAAATAACGACCATTTGAAAACCTAGCTTATGAAATGGTCGAAATTTAACCTGATATGAGGTTTCGAAAACGTACTTCAAAACCTGGGGTTAGAAATGATCAGTGCAAAGTCACGGCAGAGGTCTACCCGATTCTGGAAGGAACCTACTTTACTGCAGATAAAATCGAAGATAGGTTTATAAACATGTCTCGCTAATACGTGATGGCATGTCAGTTCAAGAACATGGTGTTTAGCCGAATGTTCACCAGTACAATGCCAAATCTCGTGATCCAGCGTGGTACAGGGAGGCGAAACTGAGGAAAGATAAAACAATTTTCGTCAAACAGTTACTGAACGTCATTAGGTAATTGATTTTGGTTTCGAATTTCAGTGTCAATATTATATATGACTTGTAAACATCAACAAATGTATATTTACATTGACAGCTTAGGGCCTGTATAGTCGTGACGTCACGTTTGAATTGTTTCCGGATTAGGGCTGGGACGGTGGAAAAATGGAATCGAGTACCCGCATGTACTTGCCCGAATCGGGAATCGAGTACCCGGAAAAGTAAGAAATGCAGCGCTTCTGTCAACTTTCTGAACATTCAATCACGAGTATTATAGAAAACTTGAAAGGATGGCAATAAGACATTAATACAGACCTTAGGCTATTTAATTTACGTCTGTTTAACCAATATAAAGAGTAACACCATTACTTACATTCCTCGTTAAAACACAGAACTTTTCGTTTCTGCTGTTACTGTAATTTGACTGCTCATGCGCAGAAAAATTACAGTCGTTAATAATAACCTTCATTAATCGGACAATACAATGATGTAAATGTGTGTTACGTCAATTATGAAAAACACAAGATATTATCTGCCCTTGTCATCTTTCCGGGTACTCGATTCCAAGAAATAGGACTCGATTCCAGCTGTACCCGACCCGGATTCGAGTACCCTAGTACCCGTCCCACTCTATTCCGGATGTATACACTTGTTTGGCTTGATGTATGCCCCGAGATTTGTAAAAGATTGGTGCTTAAGATACCATCAGGTCAGACAATGAGTTTAGTCAATCTAAACGTTATTTCAGTAAAGTCGCTGTGTCAGCTCAGTTTGTTAGGAAAGACATGCCGGGCTCTGCTGTAATATTACAAAAGGAAAATATAATTCATTTTAGCCGAACCGAAGGCGATTTTAAATATAGCTTCCGTGACGCCTTGTCTTAAAATTAGTCCATACTTTGTCTCAGTGTGTGTCAGTATCTGTTTATTTTGACACCTTGAAAAGATACGTCAAGACACTGTGCCGTCGTATTATAAATATCTTTATGTTTCTAATTAATACTTCCCATTGTCGGTGAGTGAGTGAGTGAGTTTAGTTTTTCGCCGCTTAGCAATATTTCAGCAATATCACGGCGGGGGACACCAGAAATGGGCTTCGCACATTGTATCAACGTGGGGAATCGAACCCGGATCTTGAGCGTGACGAGCGAACCACTAGGCTACCCCACCGGCCCCATAGTCAGTGAATGACCCCCAGATAAGATATGAGTTGTTATAAGTAACTGTCTGTTACTACATTTGATGCGTCCGTCTCTAATTCATGGACTGCACTATCGGCGTTGGATTTGCCATGTTAAGTAGTTATCTGACTTCTGCACATTTTAAAACTGCATTGAGTGTACATGATAAGCATCTGATTGTATAACCGTTTAAATGAACACTACTAACTATTAGTCTCGAATATGTCATGCTTCTAACACATTTTGTGCAAGGCAACTGCTAAGCAAGGCTTCTTTGACAGTTTGAAGACTTTTTTCTGGTTCAAATCTAAAAAATTGATTCACAAAATTACCAAAGAAAAAAACATGTCAAAACAACTTTTGCCTGATGCCATGAGTCCATTATGTCCTTTTCTGTCACATGTTTGAACTACGTCAAAGAATAAACCCTCAATGTAATAACATGACAATCGAAAGTCAGGCGCTAACTGTTCCATACCAAATAAGGGCGTTAGGAGTTAACAATTATGTTTTGAATTCACTTTAATGCAAGGGGACCTGACGGTACATCACAACAAACAACAACGTTTGAATCGTGTTTCATTCATTTACTCGGTAATCCTGTAATCACCATCCATGTTCAAAATGCATTGTTCACACATGTAGTGTAAACTGATCGGACAAGTTCGCAGACCACTATCCCCACCCTGGACTCCATGAGGCTCGCCGTTTGAATGACCGGAGTGACGTCATCACATCTGTCTCTATGAGGAAGTGACCACTATCCCCATGGTTCAATCTCGCAGTGTGATTTTGCCATGTAAAACAGAAAATACAAGATTTGACTTCTACGGATACAAGATGTGTTCAGACAGATCAAATATTATATTTAACAAATAAATAGATACAGCTTATGGCAACTTTATTATGAATGTCCACATAAATAAAGATTTCCCTTGCAACTGTTTGCAGTTAATAATTCCGCTTTATGACTCTTAACTGTAACTAACAGCATAAAGAAACCGTTTTGTATTCCAATATGACTGTAACCGTGTCCACTTTATACATCGAACTTGTATTGTGATTTATACTACAACAAAAATATCCTATATACCTTTCAAATTAGTCCAAGTAAAATAGAAAAAGCACAGCTTTTATCTTTACAAGCAATTTCAGAGAGTAAAACGAAGTGCTATTATTAATGCGCATTAAAACACACGTACGAGCAAGGTAAAAGAAAGCAAAACGAAGTGCTATTATTAATGCGCATTAAAACACACGTTCGAGCAAGGTGAGAAAATAAAACGAAGTGCTATTATTAAAGCGCACTCAAACACGTTCGAGCAAGGTGAGAAAGTAAAACGAAGTGCTATTATTAAAACGCATTAAAACACACGTTCGAGCAAGGTGAGAAAGCAAAACGAAGTGCTATTATTAAAGCGCACTCAAACACGTTCGAGCAAAGTAAGAAAGCAAAACGAAGTGCTATTATTAAAGCGCATAAAAACACACGTTCGAGCAAGGTGAGAAAGTAAAACGAAGTAGTAGTATTAAAGCGCACTCAAACACGTTCGAGCAAGGTGAGAAAGTAGAACGAAGTGCTATTATTAAAGCGCACGCAAACACACGTTCGAGCAAGGTGAGAAAGTAAAACGAAGTGCTATTATTAAAGCGCACTCAAACACGTTCGAGCAAGGTGAGAAAGTAAAACGAAGTGCTATTATTAAAGCGCACTCAAACACGTTCGAGCAAGGTAAGAAAGTAGAACGAAGTGCTATTATTAAAGCGCATTCAAATACGTTCGAGCAAGGTGAGAAAGTAGAACGAAGTGCTATTATTAAAGCGCATTCAAATACGTTCGAGTAAGGTGTGAAAGTAGAACGAAGTGCTAGTATTAAAGCGCACTCAAACACGTTCGAGCAAGGTGAGAAAGTAAAACGAAGTGCTGGAATCAAAGCGCACGCAAACACACGTACGAGCAAGGCGAGAAAGTACAATGAAGTGCTGGAATCAAAGCGCACGCAAACACACGCAGACACAAACGCTCATGGACTTCACTTCACAAACCAAGACATCAACAAAACATCAATACACACAAGATGTCAGGCACTCATGTGTTGTATATTCTATTCCAGATTGGTATTTTATAATTCAAGGTAAACGCTTTGCAGTTGAAGACATGTAATTCGACAGGCTAACCAAGCACTTTATTTAGTGATTATGTTTCCATAACCCTGAGAAACAAACCACGCCCACAAACAGACTATCGTTCACTGACTGGCTGAGAGTAGAGTGGGCGGTGTTTGCCTTAAATTAGAGCGCTTTTCGACGTTTATGCTAATGAAAATATTATTGATAATTTGCATGAGAATATAATATATCATGCGTTAATAGATAAATTTACTTATAAACCTCTGCGCACATTTTATGCAGATCCGCTAGATGTCATGCACATACGCCAAAACACTGACGTCATTTGTTCAATAAAACAGGAAAGTGTTTGAATTTTGCATTATCAACTAATTTCCATTGGATGCACTGCCAGTACTCACAGTCACATTCACAGCTTCTGTTTGAGGACGTCCTTGACCCTATCGTGACCTTGCATAACGCCACCCCGTCTCTGTACAGTAACATTTCCAGGTAGCAAGGTCATCAATGCTGACGTCACACTGTGAGGCGGCAAAGCTACCGTCAGACGTGCACGTGCGCACCGGCAGATACGACAGGTTCATCTCGTGAAGCACGGACTTCAGGTGCGAGATATTAGTGAGGGTGCGTAAAAGAGAAATGGAACTGTCTGTGACGTCGGATTCGTTGATGAGCTTGACGGTCGTGCTGAAAAGTTGTTTTTGTCTTTGGCATAGTGTCAGAGTTTCTGGAACAAATTACGTAATAACATTACGCGCAATAAATGATAAAAATATAACAATATGCAAATATGTAAGTGTTCACTTAACGTGTAACCTGCATGGCCCGGTCATGGAACTTCACCACGCCGGTGACAAACAACGTACCCTCGGTCCGGTTTAGTAAAGTCACATTTGGCGTTCGCGCAATTTGGAACCAGAACCCCGGATGGGGCTCAACTCAAAAAAGTACTAGACTTTATATTTAACTAAGAAAGTGTAATCCCAAATATAACGTGTTACATTTGATCACTTTCTAAATGGCATTGTGTAATCATAGCTTTCGGCCGTGGGAGCCGTGCCAATTACCACTTATCAGAGGGTACACAAAACCCGCAGTCTAGACTACCAGTTGTCTGACTTCCATTTTGTTGAAGTTGCGGTAGATGAGCGGGTTAGGCGGCTGACTTTGTGTGCTGGCGATTAGGTGCCTGACTCTGAGGGTGTGAGTTCGAATCAGGATGGGGCTCAACTCCAAAAGTACTAGAATTTGTACTTTAGGAAGAAAGTGTAATTCCAAATATAACATATGTTACAAAACTGGTTCTTGAATATACGCTTGTCACCGGAAATGTGGCACCGGAAGTAAGCTGGGCCCGTCTCGCATATCGCAAACTTTAAGGGAGCTGAAAACTATCTTAGTACTGGAACTAGGCCCTATTGGGTATTGACTGTTGTTTATTGATCATTTATTCTGAGAACGCAGAAAACGTCTTCTTTATGTCTGAATCAGACAAATCATCACACAAAACCTAACCATCCTTACAACGTAACACCACTACACTGTAAAAATATAGGTTAGGACTTCATAGTCATAGGTAGCTATTGATCTAATTCTACATCAGCCAAAGAAATTGCAGCTTTCTCTCGCAAGACATCACAAACCGTAAACATTCTATTTAGTTCACATATTCAAAAGAACAACCAATCATTACAAGTTGATTATAGCGTGCTTCCTTCCGCGACTTCCAGTATTTGTATGTCTTTGTGAGCAGTAACACTTTCTACAAGTCCATTTGGCTCAAAAGCGGACCGATGAAATGCAATCTAACTCGAAAACTAATAAACATAACATACTAAATGAAACGCTGATCATAATCAAAACATCCTACCCACTCTGTGAGGTTTTGCAGAATTTTTGTCCTAAAATAATAAAGTTGTTTAACGAAGGAGGTGTGCAGAGAAAGGGACAGCCAGGTGTTCGAGAAGCACGTTCACAGACAAAGTTATTTATTCATTCACCTGTGCTGTGCCGTCTCCATACGTTCTCTAACACCTGGCTGTCCCTTTCTCCGCACTCCTCCCTCGTAACAAATAGTGAAATGTGACAATATTTTAATGATAGTTTGTTAAACAACTTGATTATTTTTAGGAAAAAAATTCTGCAAAAAACTCACAGAGATGGTCTGATGTTTTGATTATGATCAGCGTTTCATTGAGTATTTTATGTTTATTAGTTTTCGAGTTATTCATCGGTCCGCCTTTGAGCCAAATGGACTATAGGATAACAATGGCTGTCATCAGCCACTTATTCTGGTATTGTAAACATGTCAACTCTTTATGGACTGATGTTCAAAATTGGATAAACAATGCTGCAGAAATTAGAATAGCTTTATTTTGGACATCCGAATAAAAAAGTTGTTTAGCAAACGATCATTATTTTGCTGTCACTTCTTACGAGGGGGACCACTTGCTGGTAGAATAACCAGGTGTGCGAGCGAGTTGTACGTGTGAAATTGAAATTTCACTGCACACGCCTGTTGATTACCCGGCTGTTCTACCAGCAAGTGCCCACCCCACCCCACCCCCACCCCCTTCGTAACAAATGGTGAAAAGTGACATCAAAATAATGATCGTTTGCTAAACAACTTTTTATTCGAGTGTCCAAAATTATGAGACAAATCATCACATTTGGTCTGATGATTTCACGTGACTGTGCAAAATTTGGTTTTGTTGCAGTAATTAGATTTTGTGTTAGTGAGCAATTCATCGGTCTAAAATGAAGTTAAACGGACTATACCTGAGTGTTACCTACTCAGACATGACATCACACTTACTGTTCTCGCCTTGGTAGGCAGGTTACACATAGGGCCCCAGTGGGTATCTGGACATTGACACAGCTCCCCGTTGGCGATTTTACCAACACAAACACCAGAACTTGTGAACACCCACACAAGTTGTAATTGTTAACTTCTCTGTACAATGTTGCACAAATCCACTCTGAAATAACAATTGATTGTATTATCATATTCACAATATGACAAGTAGCAAATGAGTGGATTTAAGTTTACGGAACAACTGACAAGCGTAAATGAAATCTTCTGATTAGGCTCTGTTAGGAAACAATGATATCAAATTCAAATTGATATTATAAATTGTTTATTAGTCACGAGGGCTTTTGGTTTCAAACTGATCGCAATCACGAGGGCTCAGGGAACATAAACAAACATAGTGGAAACATCAACACATGGGCCCGGGGGATCAGTGAACAACGTATTAACCTTACTGAACACCTCAATGTTAATTCTGAACTGTTTGAAGCACTGGTATAAGCACTCATAATAAGGAGTACCAGAATTTGGCAATAAGCCAATACCGACCAGAAAAACATATTTAGAGTTATCTCCCTTCCATCGATTTGCATTCGCAAAACATTGGTAATTTCTGTACATCATACGTGACTCAATTATTCGAGAGAAAGAATTACTAACATGAAGTACCAAATGAGTTCACACAGTTCGGCATTCCCAGCGGGTTACATAGAAAATGTTACTAGTTTGTAACCGGGGTACATTGAAACTAATTGAATCAGCCAATCAGAAAACGACATTTATGTGTGAGGTAAGATAATTGTGAATGTCCAGCTCAACACTTATACCCTTTAAACTGACTCACTGTGAAAATGTCTACAATCATAAAATGAAGTCTAAATTGGAGTTATAGAAATACATTGAAAAAGAAAGTACTAAATCAAAATGGCATCTGAGAAATTCCTGCGATCCGACGAATCAATGGAACCAGCTGCAGGTGAGTGAGTGAGTTAAGATTTAAAAGTCACATCGGCAATATTTCAGCTATATCGTGACTAAAAGTAGTTCTAAATTCATAATACATACATATTCCATATGAAACCCTGTCGACGAAAGGCAGTAAAACCACTAGATTATCACAGATTGAGTGAGTGAGTGAGTGAGTTAATATTTAACGTCACATCGGCAATATTTCAGCCATATCGTGACGAGAACAGATTGACGCTGAATTGGAATACATGCATGTTATAAAAACCTGTCGACGAAGGACAGTAAAACAACAAGAATATCAATACAATTACAACTAAAACAAGTGTGGAAAGTTAAAACTGATAAAGCTTTATTTGGACAATACAATATAAAACAGGCCAATGGAACCAGGGGTAATCAACGTCTTCTCTCTCTGATGGAACTTATTACTTTAGCAGCAGGGACTTTAGCGTCATGTATGGGTGGTGGAACAGTGAAGGGCAGCTGTTTGAAGGATATGAAATGCTGTCTTACTTTCACAGTTCCTCCCAAAGTAGCCATCACGACAGGCGCAGGTATAGGTTAGTGGTCCCATGTCCCACACACACAGCGCTATTCTCACATGGACTTGACTCATTACGGATCTGACAAGAAACAAATACATGGTTACGTATACTTTCTCTGTTCACCCAGCAGAAAATAGGCACCTGTGGGGAACATGTGACTAAATT